CCACCTCCTCCCTCCTTCTCCCTCAACCTCTTCTCCTCCTCCTCCTCCCCTGTTTCGCTGGGGGAAGATGAAGTGTTTACAGAGCAGCTCCCCTCAACCTTGTGGGCACCAGGGGGTCAGTTCCATGGAGAAAGGTTTTTCTGTGCACCAGAAGGTTTTGCCTGCTGCCTGCATCCTGCAGGTGGGGCTTTGCTTGTTTGCGGCAGCCCAGTTGCTGGCATGCCATGGGCCGGTGCCAGTTCACAGACTGGGAATTGGGGGACCCCTGTTACAGAGCCCTGCATTTGGAAGGGATGGTGCCTGACCACCTGATGCTCCCCTGGCTTGCACTCTCTCTTCAGGAGTTCAATGCTGGGCCCCGACATTTATCCTCCTAGCGGTGCCTAGGGGAGGGCAAAGGGCCTCCACTCCCCCAGAGGCCTTTGTCAGTTTGGGTGCATGGACATTGTAGTCCTACGGCTGCGCTGCAGCTGACAACCCTTGGTCGTGAAACGGGTGAAGGAAAACAACGGGGCGAATTGTCCCTGCATCCCACGTCTGGCATCAGTCCAGCCTGTGAGCCCTTGAGCTGAGACCCTCCCTCCCTCCCTCCTTCCCTGCCCAACAGGCGCTGATAGGGACCGATTCCATCTCCAACTTGCACAAACTGGAGCAGGTCTCCAGCGATGAAGGCATCGGGACGCTGGCCGAGAACCTGCTGGAAGCCCTGCGGGAGCACCCGGATGTCAACAAGAAGATTGACGCGGCCCGCCGGGAGACGCGGGCGGAGAAGAAGCGGATGGCCATGGCCATGCGGCAGAAGGCCCTGGGCACCCTTGGCATGACGGTAATGAGAGCGCCTCTTGCTCGGGGGGTGGGGGGGGGGGGGGGGGGGGGAGGCCGTTGGGAAGAGTGCTGGCCCCGTGGCCCTTCCTCCTCCTCCTCCTCCTCCTCCTCCTCCTCCTCCTCCTCCTCAGCCCCTCCTCTGCTCTGCTTGGCTTGCCAGACGAACGAAAAGGGACAGGTGGTGACGAAGACGGCGTTGCTGAAGCAGATGGAGGAGCTGATCGAGGAGCCTGGTCTGACGTGCTGCATCTGCCGGGAAGGCTACAAGTTCCAGGTGAGCCACAGAGCCTTTTCCCCGTGATCTCACCGGGAGGGGAGAGAGGAGGAGCAGTGGTGGGCTGATGCCGGTTTGGACTGGCTCACCTGTACCGGTAGTTACGACCCCTGGTTGGGCCCGCCCAGGCGCGCTATCCCGTCGTATAAACCTGACGTCTTTGCTCACTTGACCCCCCCTCACAACCCAGGCGCTTTCCACGCTTTGCCC